GCTAACTCTAACTGAGGAAGAAACAACATTAGAGGAAAAAGGGAGGAGTTAATAGCTAAATTGCATCCATGCCTTATGGCTTCTGCTTTTTACTTAATATGGGAGAATATTATGAGTGATAGTCAGCTAAAATGTTGCAAAATATAATTACGCTAACTCTGCATGACAAAAGTGAGCGATTATGCTGATAAAATGGCATCAGTTTTTTAGTACATGATTTACAGGCTGTTCTATCCTTTCAGAATCAAGTATAATCATTTTTTTTTTAAATCTGTAAAATTAGGTTATGTCAGAAGATTGACATCCATTTGACAACTAAACATTGATGTCCTTTTGTCCACCAAAGTAATAAGAACACAAAAAGTATTATAATATTACAAAAGCTTATTCATCTGAAAGCTTCAGTTCCAAATTCACACTTTATTATGTATCCATGATATGAGTGTAAATTACCTTGATGTCAAAATGACATCAAATTGACATCTAACATTGGCAAAACACACCAAACTTGACTACAGAACTGTCCTGTAATTGATTCTTGACACCGATTTTACATGTTAATGTAAGATATTGTTTAATTTTAATGTGTTTTTTTGACATCAAGACATCCACTGGGATCGTATTGTCAACAGAAAAAGTAAGTACATAAGTAAGTAAGTAAGTAAGTCATGTGTATTTATAGAGTGCATTTATCATGTATGGTCATACACCCAAAGCACTTCACAATCATGAGGGAAGGTCTCTCCACAACACTACCAGTGTACAGTATCTTCTTGAATGATGCGACTGCAGCCACAGGACAACTGCGCCAGTGTGCTCACCACACACCAGCTATAGGTGCAGAGACAGTGATAGAGCCAATTGTGTAGATGGGGATGATTGGAAGGTCATGATGGGTAAGGGCCGATGGAGGAAATTTGGCCAGGACACCAGGGTTACACCCCTAGTCTTTACTAGAAGTGCAATGGGATTTTTAATGAGCACAGAGAGTCAGGACCTCAGCTTAACTTCTCATTCAAAAGACGGCGCTCCCTTTCACTTTACTGGGGCATTAGAACTTGCATTGATGACAGGTTGAGCGCCCCCTGCTGGCCACACGAACACCACTCACTAACACCACTTCCAACAGCAACCTAGTTTTCTCATGTGGTCTTCCATCCAGGTACAGACCAGGCTCAACCCTGTTTAGCTTTAGTGAGTAACCGGTTTTAGGCTGCAGGGTGATATGGCTGTGACTAAAATAGAAAAAGAGCAGTGTTATGGAGGGTAATATGGGGAAGTCACTTTCTGGTTATTCATTGTATATATTAAGGAAACTTACTGTTAATCAGTTTGCAGATTTTTTCTGTAGCATTAAAAAATGTACTATTGAATCTCAGCCATTGCCATGTACCTCTTGACTTAAGCGATCCTAATTGTCATTAAAATGATCATAACGACCTGCTGTTTTAATAAAAAAAACTTTATTGAAAAAAAAATCTGTAAAATATTTTAGCACAAATATTACAGAACACACATGTTATTTAGCAATTAAAACTCATGCAAAGGGTTTCTACTCATGCTCAGATGTCAGTCAGAACTGAACTGGCGAAGCATCACTGTAAATATCTCTAGGTTCCACACAATTCCTTCATAATGTCCCAACACAAATCCATTAAGTAATTTTTTCAAATTTAAGTAGACTAAACATAAAACAATTAAGTTGCCCCCTAAAAAAGCTCAAAAATTGTGTTGATTCAGCTCATTTTAAAAAAGAAGTGTGAACAAGCAGCAAAAATAATGTTCATCACGCTTCTCATTATAAATACAGAGCACTGAAGCTTTATTTATGATGCCATGTACTTTATTTCTTAAGGATCTTAATTACTAGAGTCCTTGTGATTTTACCACATCTTAAATCATCAATAATTTCAGCAGTAGTGCTGCTGTCTCATAAAAAGGTGAAGGATATCCTTGTTTTGTTAAGCATAGTGTCAATAAAGCATACCCTTAGGTCCAGAATCTTTCCAGTGAACCTGCTGGCTGTTTATTTACAAATTTAGATAACACTTTATTTTGATGATCCACTTGAGTATTAGTAGACTGTCTGCTTAATATCTGTTGATTCTGCTCCTTCAACAGACATTTAACTGACTATAAGAAACTTTGCAAGTACATGTCAACTTACACAAACCCTAAACTCAACCTATCAGTCTACTTATGACCATGTAGATGCAATGTAAATTAAATTTAACAAACGGACCATCAAAATAAAGTGTGACCCATTTATTTCAAGCTGGATGCTCAATTACAAGTGAAATCAATTATTTTTAGAAGAATAATAATAAATCATAAGGAATTGTGCACTATTAATGTGTGGATTACTTAGCAACAACTTAAGAAAATCCTGTTGTTTTTGTATATTTGTAAAATACAGCAATGTAAAGCAATTGTTAGGAACAAATGTGCAAATTGCAAAACAGAGACATAGAGGAAAACATTTCTAGAACAATCACCCCGTATACGTTTATAAGTTTTGATTTGATGTTTCTGTCTCTTACCAAGGCAGCATGTATTTGCCCAAAATGCATTTTTACAGTACCATCGTTGAGAATAACGATTGTGATATAAAAACGTTGATCTTTTTTTAATATATTTGAAAATGTGATTCATTCCTGTAATGTCAAAGATGATATACCAGTTTTACTCTCATGTTTTATCAATTTAATGCATCCTTGCTGAATACATTTCAATAAAAAAAGAATCTGACACTGAACATTTGAATGGTAGAGTACAGTTATTTATGTGGGCAGAGTTTAGCAACAATACACACTGATTGATGACTTGGCAACCATTAAGAAAAGAATCAAACAATTATCAAAAAAATTTAAATAAACTACTGATGAAAACAAATGTTCACAATGGGCACCTGGCAGAATCCTCTGTTTTTATGATCAAAAAATAAAATCATGACAATCAGATCATCTCAAGTCCTTTTAAATGCGCATGACGTCATTTATAGACCATTTCAATGTGGTGATGTCATTGGCTCATGAACATTTCCTGCTTGTTATCAATCTATTTCATAACTGTAACAAGAGGCAACTCAATCATAACTTTAAAACAGCTATTAAAAAATCATTTATTAATATGAAGACCTTTTGGGATTCTCAGAAGCTATGGAAATCCATAATGTAAAACAGGAAATACGTTAGGCTCATTGTTACTGTGTGCATCCCTCAAAATGGTCTATTAAATCCTAGCACTGAACGACAGTCAAACCCTCAGGACTGAAGCTCAATCAGAAAAGGCAACAAAGTTAATTCTGTTGCAGACAAATCATTTATAGATCATCTACATTAGCCAATTTGAGTTTATTTATGACCTTTGGGACACATATTAATGATTCGACACAACAGAAATGAGCAGAATAGCTTAACTAGCAAAGGCTAACCAGCTTGATCAAACTCCAACAGATTGCATGAGAAACTTGGCTCAATTTGTGCTAACTGCTTATCTGCAGATCCATCATAATGGGTTTCATACTGAGAATGAATGCCTTAATGAGAAACTTGCCAGTGAGCTACACAATATTTATGTCTGCTGAAAAAATAAAAGCAATTATGGCACCCTTAATTTCATGGAAATCATTGGAAAGCAAGAAACATGTATCGTTTGAGGCCTACCACTTTATTTAAGATACAGTAAGGCTTTTCACACTCTGCTAATACCCATATTGTCATTCTCAATCTCGGATTGGAAACCCTGGATAAAGGTTAAAGAAACTAGAATAGAGTTAGTTGTCAAACATCAGTGCTGCTAGGGTGTATATCATTATGTAATGGTCTTATGTAATTAATGGTGGATGTTTTCCATTAAATTAGTGTGAAAATTGTCATTAATTTACAAATATTTAAGAAAATGTTACTGATTAAAGCTGAATATTTTCTGTGAAAAGCTTGGATAAGTTGATGTCTTCTGCAATTTAATGGCAGTTTAGAAAATCAATGGTATTCTGATGCCTTGGATCAGTTCTTTTACTTCAATATGCAAAGATCTAGACATAATGTAACACATGCGTATTTGATAACTGTTTTGTTTTCTAATTGATTTAATGTATACGCACTGATTTTAATAACCAACTGCTTTTTTCCAAGACACCATTAGATGCTATTGTTCATAGCTAATTGTTTTATTTCGAAAACACTATCATAGTGATCTTTGTTTTACCTCAGTGTGATCTCAAGGCTGAAAATTGGCTGCTGAAGTCTGAATTTGAGATAGCTGTGCTTTTTTTTATAGGATTATTATCTTAATCAGTGTTGAGGGTGATGCATTACAAGTAACCCCAGTTGTGTAATAATATTACTTTTCTAAGAAACAAGTAAAATAACGCATTACGTTTTTAAAAAAAGTAATAATATTGAATTTACTTTATTTAAAATGTAATGCAAGTTACTTTTTAGTTAAATTAATTAGCTTTTTAAAAAAAAAATGCTAAATTAAAATTAAAGTAGCCACAATGAATTACGCAGTCAATAAGAGAATGTGTTCATTATTTTGAACGCATCAAAGGAAAGGAAAAGGGGAAATGTCTTGATGGAGAGTAAGTTTACCTAGGACAATAGTGGAAAAGAAGCAATTCGAATTCCAACAATTTCATTTGTACATTGTAGTTTATTTGGTTCCACGCCTCCTTTTAAAAATCATACATTTTGTATGAATTAGCCACTAAACTGACAAAAAGTTAAATAGTTATGTTTCCTTTGAGATCAGGCTAAGGCAACATGTAATCTTTAATACTTAATCTACATCTAACTTATGACTAGGCCTGCACAGAATATGCAAACGCAGAAATCCACAGATTTTGAGGCCATCATTGAGTCTATGTATGAACTTCTGTAAATGTGTGTAAATTTATATTTACTCAGTTTTTTTTATTAATTTCACTAATATTATTGTGATGTAATAATAGTAATATTAAAATGATTTATTTACAATACAGTTCCTAAAGTAACATTTTTTGTCTTTTAGTAGAGATATTATATGAGAGACTTGCTTTGTTTACCCAATAAGTGGATCTAATTGGATTTGCAATGTGAACATTCAATAAAAGTATAAAAGCTATTGTTTTTATTTCGTATATTACGCTTTTAGTTACGATACTTCCAAAATAATTGTGCATAAATCCGCAGATTTTTTACAAAATTCTCAACATAAATAGTAAAAAAATGTCTGCAGATTCTGTCTGGTCCTACTTATGAGATCCAAAACTTGTTAAAATTGGCAAACTTGTGATACAGTGTTAAACAACGCAATTGTATTTTGATATGGGTAGATATTCAGCAAGTGATAGCAATCAAGTGTCACGATCTTGTGCCTTGGACAGTCACAGATACATTACAAACTGCCTCGTTTTTCAGGGAAAACAGTCAAACAGTCAAAATAGATAATAATAATCCTAAAAGTCCATTCATTTTACATAAAAATGTTAGCTTGGAGTAATATACAACAACAGGAACCAAAACCTTAAAGACTTGTGGTCATGTCATGTGCTGCATTCATCCAATCATTGAAGAAATAATGCAGACATCAACTCAGGGCTAAGCAATCATACAAATCCCCCAGGAGTAGTTGTTTACCTAGTATAAATAATAAGCAGCATGAAACGTGAAGATTTAGAATGACTCAGGGTTAACTTGATAAGTGTGAAAAGCCCTGATGTTTTTCTCCTCATTCACAATGCCAGTACAAACCCTTTTACATACAGAACTGCTGAGCTGCTAAGGAAAACCCTACTAATATACACCGCAATCTGTCTTGTGCTTTGTTGGTAAACTTCAATAAATAAATAAATAATTCATTCCTCCACCTCAGATGGGTATAATAATCTTTGTTCCCCTCTAAACGCGGATCTCTGACCCTCAAAACATTGTCCCAATAAAACAGTGGACCAGCGAGTCTGAAAAGATCAACAAGTACACAAAGTGCACAAGCGAGTCCCTCACCTCCGTCCAATGGCTTTCTTCATAATGACAAGGAGAGCGGGACGGCATTACAGCTGTCCATTAAGTCACTTTAACAGAAGAGAAAAGGAGAAACAAACCAGACGACCAAAATGCCACTCTCAGAAACAGCTCCCAGTTCCACAGAGTCCTCCGTCAGACATGCCAATCAAATGAAAATTAAAGCATCTGATCAAAACACACTTTGGATTTCTACTCACACTGGAGAGCAGGAGTGTTATCCTCTGAGGGCCCTTCCACCAGGGCTGCAGTGGTTGTGTCTTAGACGTGTAGGGCTTTCTACATGTGTCTAAGCTGTTTACCATGGGGGACCATGCATAGGGTTGAAGAGCGTGCACGAGATTAAGAGTTAGAATAAGAGATACTACTAAGAAGAACCTACAGTGGAGTTTCTACTCCCACCAAGAGTGACCATATTGCACTGTGAGCCGGTTCCATCTTTTTTTTTGTGTCTGTATGAAGGGTCTGTGCGCCCTTCAAACTTCCCAGTGCGTTCCCTCTTTCCACAGTGCGTGCCCTCGGCGTCGCTGGCAGGCTCAGGGGGAACCGAGGCAGCATGGATCTTCCCCTGCTGAAGGAGAGCTGATGGAAAAAACTTAGGGCAGAGTGCAGTGTGGAGGGAGGTCAGGAGGTGAAAAACGTGAAGGATTCACTGCGGAGCCGCTCACTCGCTGGGGTACGAGGGGTAATGTGTCGGGGGTTGAGAGCAGCCACGGCCCATAGGAAGTGTGGAGTGTCTTTCTGGAGGAAGGCGTTTAGAGAAGAGGTCACTGTCCATTCCTGGTTGAGGATCACCGTAGAGGTCACCTGAATGAGGGGAAGACGTGTCAATTAGATGGTCTAATGTTTAAAATAATTTCTTTTTTTGAGAAAACAGCCCTGCATCAATTTTGAGATTTTTAAAAATGTATTGCTATTTGCTTTTGAATAGATTCTGAGCTTCATTTTTAACAGCAGGTGGCGCTCTAGGCTACTTTTTAGTGTTTGTGCACATGTTGTTAAGCAGTGATGTGCGATACCACTGGTTTCCTATCTGATCTGATACCAAGTAAAATGAAGGCGAGTATCGGCGATACCGATCCGATACTTTGCTCTAAAATGACAGTTTGTGAAATTAAAGTAACAAGTAGTGTACAGATTTTACTCCAAGCTGAGCTATTGCAGACATTTTGGTCATTTATTTAGTTCATTACTTATTTCATAAACAAAGTTCTAAAACAAATTTGTTTCAAGAATTCAGGGAACTGCCGTTGTTTTATCATTGTCACAAAACCCCCAAAATACTGCCATATCGCCACATTTTCTCCCTCTGTACCTGAATAGTGCCTGCCTGCTAGCGATGTCTGTCTCGCCCTAGCAGCACCTGTGCCTTTCCTGCCCTTCTCTTCTGACCGCCTAGTCATGATGTTGTCATATTCTGCCTTGTGATTTATTTGTTGATGTTTGATTAGGTTTGTGGTATTTACCACAGTACCTCACTGTTTTGTTACACGTGTCACAAACCGCATCGTTAAAGTTTATGGAAGTGAAGAAGCTCCACACAACTTGGCTTGCGGTCACCCAATCCAATGACAGCATGACTGAACAACATGTGCCAGCGGACTGAGTGGCTACCTAGTGTGCTCTGCAGTTGTACAGTACCAAATTACGCATTTGAATCAGCAGGCGGAAGGACAAGTAGTTCTGACTAAGTTGACATTAATCAGATAAACTAGGGTAATTGTGGTTCCTTTCCGCTGTATTTCTATTTCCAATAAACTACATATTTTCTCCAAATTACTGAAATATCGATATTTTGATATGATAATCGATTCTAAAATATACAAAGCTGGTATCGAATCTATTGATATTTTAATATTGAAGTGTAAGAGCCATAATTTGGTATGTTTAGTTGTGTACATTTGCTGATTTCCCCCCACCCCTTTTGTTTGTGATGGTTTGCTCTGCCTTTATTGGATTGTTTTACTTGTATTACAAGATGCGAAAGTAAAAAATAAGATGCGAAAGTAAAAAGACAGAGCAGCACAGTTTTTTTTACCAGAGTTTACTGTTATACTACATGAGCAACTAGTAAACATTTTTAATGTGAATAAAACCAGAGTCAATAATTTGGCTGACTGATTTCCTAAAAATTCTGATTCCACAGTCAGGTATATAAAGGACACAGGTGAAGATACTTGGGCACATCAATGTAGCACAATTTTTGGGATATTCATTCATTCAAACATTTTATTTTCAGCTTTATTAAACAGGGGTTGCCCAGCCAACTTATCCAGCATATGTTTTATGCAGCAGATGCCCTTCCAGCTGCAACCCATCACTGGGAATCACCTATACATTCTCATTCTCACACTACAGAAAATTTAGCTTACCCAATTCACCTATAGTGCATGTCTTTGGACTTGTAGGGGAAACCAGAGCACCTGGAAGAAACCCACGTGAACACGGGGAGTAAATGCAAACTACGCACAAAAATGCCAACTGACTAGGGACTCGAACCAGCAACCTTCTTGCTGTGAGGCAACATCGCTACCCACTGCACCGCCCCCATTTTTGTGACACTATACACCTCTTCCTATTTTTATGTTAATGTGAGGGGTAGGTTTAGGATTGGGGCAGATGTTAATAAATGTAATAGTAATTTGATAATTAATATAAATAATAACTCTCATTTACTTCATGCTGGAACTGTATCCCTTCAAGCAGCAACTATATTCAGGTGAGTTATGCAATTTGGGTTTATCAGGGTTGCCAAGTTTGTAGTTTCTCCTATAATTGGGCTATTTTTGACAGATGCTGTTTTTGACAGATGCTTTAAGATGCTGTGGGGTTGTTTTTTTATTCTGTGAGTTAAAAATCTGACAAGTTGCATTAATCATTTTATATGGTTGCATTCAAATATTTAATTAGACTATATTTATATTCTACCATTGATAAAACTGTGCTAGGATGATGAAACGGAGTAAACCCACTTTTGTCAAGTGCAGAGGCAATCGAGGAGGGACGAAATAAATGGCTGTTTTTGTTTCTGTAGGATTAGATTGGTAGAACTCTCCAGCATTGTTACAAATACATGCAGATTTATCTGTTGATTTACAAATCAGTTAACATTTTGATATTTTAATTGTTTAATTTTTAAATATATCTTTAAATGTTTATGATAACAAAATTGTATAATTACTAATATTTAGTTATCTTCAAAGAAGAAACCCTGTGTATAATTTATACCAGAGGTGTCCAAAACTCAGACCTGGAGGGCCGGTGTCCTACATATTTTAGTTCCAGCCCCAATTAGACATACCTGAACCAGATAATCAAGCTCTCTCTAGGTATACTAGAAACTTCCAGTGAGTTACGTTGAAGGAAGTTCAAAAGCTAAACTATGAGGGACACCAGCCCTCCAGGACCGAGTTTGGACACCCCTGATTTATACAATGATTTAAAGTGTTAAATTGATAAATAGGTAGTGGCATAATTTGAGTTTTAAAAGGCACCCATTTTACCCCTTTTTTAAGATTTAAGATAAGTCTTTTGTATCTCCAAAATGTGTCTGTAACGTTTCAGCTCAAAACATCCATCAGATTATTTATTATGCCTTTTAGAATGTTGGAATTTTCTGCTCTGAAGACTATGTAGCTGTTTTTGTTGCCTGTGCCTTTAATGCTAGTTCACCGTGCCCACCGTTCCCATGTGCTTGTCAGAGTGTGCCTCAATCTCCGCCTCGGCTGTGTCAGATAAACAGCACAGTGACAGACATGAAGGAAGCTGATCTCATGTAATGTTTGTGAGAAATACTACAGAAAAAAGCACACACACACAGTCATACACACCACTGTTTTTGCACGGCAAATGTGACAGGATAGACGCTAATATCCACTGTTGTATGGATGTTAATGTATAAAATAAACCTTATTTACGTACACAAACCGGGATTGAAGCGTCTTCTTTTACAATTGTACTGACATGCGGCTGTGGTAATAAAGACATGCTCTGTTTAAAAAATGTTTTATACTTGTAAAACTCATTCTTGATCACATTTGATGATGATTGATGATCACAGAGAGCTGAACAGATCTTTTAATAACAGTTGCTTTGTGCACATCCTGTCTGGTTGATATGATTATACCCGTTACTATGGTGACATGTTTAAATGTGGCTGTCAATCAATCCAGTGGGTGGGGAAACCACACTCCTATGTCACGTTGTGGTGGGCCTCAAAATGGGAGAGATTTGGATTCTATTTTAAAGTCAGGAAATTTAAAAAAAGAGACAAGCTGTCTTTATATCACCCCAGTATGACTGTGGATACACTATACCTACACACAGTTCTCTCCAAACAGCTTACAAAAGATGATTTTCATTATAGGTGCCCTTTAATGTTATTGTGTTAGCTTTTGTGCAAAACCCTGGCAACCCTGTTTTTTTACATCACAAGATTATTATAACCACAGCTCACTAAATGAACACTTTTGTAATCTGTTTAAAACTTTCCTAACTTTATGATGATTATTTTAGGTTTGAGTGGTACATGTAAAGAATTAGAATAAGAAGCAGAGTATGGCTGTTTGTAAAAGGTCTGAATCCATTCAAGAGAGAATAACGGTGAATTTTAATAATCTTAGAATCAATGCAGAATAGTTTACTTGACCATATTTTTGTCACAGATGTAAAGTTTGTGCTGCTTAATATTTTTGGTGGAAACCATTAAAAATGATTTTCATATTTATTTTGACAACAGTTGTTGCAGCAGCTGTGTTTCTGCTATGCATTGACAGCCTCCTCAGTGAGAAAAATATAACCTGTTTATAAAGATGATGAAATAAATCAACAAGATGAAATCCCACCATTAGCAGAGTCCACTCCAGCCTGTGATCCGGTGATGTGGTGCCAGAAAGCACTTCGTGGTAAGATTGCTGTTGGGGTGCAAGGGTAGGACGTCCCCTCTGGACCCTTGGATAAAAGCTAAAAGAGATTAAAAAAGAGAAAACGGACAGAAATTGCATTAGTTTAATTATTTTAAAAAACATGGCATTAGCTGTTGTATGACAGGAAGAAAATTAGGTTTTTTGGACTGTAATCTCTGCAGCCCTGTTTTAATAAGCGCTGTGTGTCTATAATGAGACATGAGCGGGTTTAATGTGTTCTTAAATATCTAAATAGCTTAAAGAACATACCAAACTATGCTTAAAGACTGGCATAAGTGTTCTGTGAGTGCTATGTTTAGGGGATAGAATATACACTTTGTACAGTATAAAAAACATTATTTCCATGGAGCATGTAAAATACATGTGTGTGTGTGTGTGGGCCTTTTACGTTACAAATAAATGCATTTTTGCAAAAAGCAAAAATGTTAAGCACAACTGTTTTCCACATGGATTATAATAGCTTTGTCATCACAGAAATACATTACAGAAAAGAAAAGAAAACCTTTTAATAGCAACAAGTTACATAACTTTAAGTAAAACAGTTTTAAATAGTTACAGTATTTTACAATATTTAATATATACAACAAATGTCTTGATGAGCAAGAGTTTTCTTAATGTTATTTGAATTATTATTGCACTGAACTCCAACAATAAAATATCATTATGAATCATCATAAATGTTATCAAATTTAATATTCTGAGTATATATAGAAATCAAAGAGTGAAACTAATACATTTTAATGCATTTTTAAGACTCTTTCCAAACATTGCTGGTTCGAGTCCCTAGTCAGTAGGCATTTTTGTGTGGAGTTTGCATGTTCTCCCCGTGTTTGCGTGGGTTTCCCCCGGGTACTACGTTTCCAGAGACTTACTACGTTAAGTCCAGAGACATGTGGTATAGGTGAATTGGGTAAGTTAAATTGTCCACAGTGTATGTGTGTAAATGAGAGTGTATAGGTGTTCCCAGTTATGGGTTGCAGCTGGAAGGGCATCCGCTGCGTAAAACATGCTGGATAAGTTGGCAGTTCATACCGCTGTGGCGACCCATGATTAATAGAGGAACTAAGCCAAAAGAAAATGAATGAATGAATAAAAATGCTAATAATCACCAAGAGGCGACACGCTGGTGCGATTTGGTAAACAGCCACTAGATGCCACTAGTTCCATGCGTCTGCCATTTCGGAATGAAAATTCTAATAGAACAACAGCATATTATAAGTCTGTAAAATAAACTATTAAAAGTGCTGATGATTGTGATAGTGAGTGTTGCATTGTCATCTTTCAGGTTGTATCTTAGCTTTAATGGCCTTTTTAAATAAATAAATAAATAAAAAACAAACGTACAAAGCAGCTGCTTGCCATCGCGACAGCAATAAGATTCAATGGATGGCCGATCGCTTTCATTCCAGGATGGCGGAATCATGGGGCTGTTGCTCGGCGCAGCTGTTACAATGGAACGTTCTATTAAGTGTCGCCTCTTAGTGATTCTAAGCTCTTTGAGAACAGCAGGAACAACAGCAATGCCTTGGTTACAACAGAAAACAAAGCAGCGTGATGTCAAATCTAGTAGGATTATCTTGATTTCATGCATGCAAGTTCAGGCAAACTTTAGCATACAATTATACATTGTAAAATAAAAAATATACTAATTTAATACCTTGCAAAACAGCATTCAGGACGTTTTAATGCTAATTTTAGAGTGTTGAATTTCTTTAAATTGATTTATCAATTCTTTTATTACTTTTTAAGACCTCGCGATCACCCTTATATTTTTGCCAGAATTTTTTTATTAATAGTTAATCTGAGACTTTTCCTAAAGAGCATCTTTTGAACATTTCTACAGACATAGTTGAAGTCACGTGTTTATAACATTGACCTTAAAGTTAAGGTTTAAGGTGCGACTGTTTTTTTGTTTTTGTTTTTTTGTATTGTGACGTAGTTTCTAGAGAAACTGAATATTAAACGATAAAACAGCGGGTGTGGCTTATTTTTCTACTGCGAGCTGAATAGATGTACTAAAGCCGGCATTTCATTCAGAAAGATGGGGAAAGGGTTTGGGGAGAGTAATTACAACCAAACAGACTAACAAACAGTTTTGATTTCATGGGCACTTCAATATAGCGCAGCTTACTGTGAAGGTTTTAATGAAAAGTGTTTCAAATGAATCCAAACAGCCTATTTCCAATTTTAAATTAGAGATTTTTAGGGTGGTCTCATTTTCTTTCGATTACCTTGCTGTTTTTCTCCATTTCCATGAGGACTCTCTTATGCTGCTCAGCTATAGCCAGCGTGGAAGAATGGACCCTTTGGTAGATCTGCTCTCCTTCCCGTGTCTGGAAAGTGTACAGGCCCTCCCCACTGTCACACATCCTAAAAAAAAAGCAAGATTAACACTCAATACTCAATTCAGCATAGAAAAAACGCATACACGCTAAACATTTGTGTGATTCATATTAACAGCCACTAGGGGTCAGTGCGATATCAAACGCCGAATTTTCTCTCATCTTTTCCAACAAAGGGCATCCAGCTGGTGATGTGAATCGTCTTTTATTATTTAATCAAAGCAAAGAGACAGATAAGAACACCTAATCTGCCACTGAACTTCCTGTAATCCACTCAATAAACCCTTTTAGGAGGTCCACCATGGTTCAATAGCTTCCTCCATGCTTTCCCTACATGACCACATCAGACTGAGATTCACATTTTACAAGTTCCTGTGAATTGTCTTTCAATTTTTAATGGTGTTTTGATTATTTTTATACCTGCCAGCCTCGAAGGTGAAGCGTGTAGCGTCTCGTCCGTATCGGCGTAGCGAACAAAGCGGCCAGGTTACCAGCTTGGTGCGAGGGTTGTGAATGTCCCACAGGTAGATGTTTTCATGTGTGATCTGCATCATACACTCACCGTAGATGTCCAGATTTGGGCAGGGCAACAGGAACACATTAAAACGCTCTGAGAGGAAAAACGGTGAGAGAAAGATCAAGGTAAAAGTTTGTTTAAAGGACTGAAAACTGTTTAAAGTTATAATTCTGACAGAAAAAATGCAATATATATGCGGTAACATGTTTACTGGTTAACAATATGTACAGAATAGTTTATGGCTTTGCAGGTGAAGCTGAATCATTGTTTATTACGGTAAAAGAACATTCCTATAAGACACAGCACATCATTATTATTTTTTATACAAATCATCTGGTTTCCCTTCTTAACTGGTTTTAGTGTCATTTTATGGATAGGTCACATATAATCAATTTTATTTATACTACTACTTTCAAGCCAGTTTCCACATGTAAAGATAAAATTTTACATTCAGACATATGAATAGGGTTTGGTATATAAAATAATATCCATCCATCCATCCATCCATCCATCCATCCATCCATCCATCCATCCATCCATCCATCAATCAATCAATCAATCAATCAATCAATCAATCAATCAAGTTTGTATGTTATCAGAAACATTAAGGTGGCTTGTTGAAATGCTACCTTATTATTATTTTTATTTATCTAATTTTCCTGTTTGAGGTCATTTTTACGAACAGGTCACCTACAATCAGCCCATTCTCTTCATGTTATTTTCTGTATCAACAATTCTATCTTTAGGGTAGTTTAATTCCCCTTTGTTTATATTACCGGAAAAGAGCAATAGGGTGGTTTGTGTTCATATGTTAAATGTTTTGTTTATTTATTTATTTATCTGTGTGCTTCATTTTATAGAAAGGCCTCTTATAATGAAGTCTGATTCTACACTCATCGGCCACTTTATTACGCATAACTTACTAGTTAGTACCAGGTTGGACCCTCTTTTGCTTTCACAACTGCTTTAATTCTTCGTGGCATAGATTTAACAAGGTACTGGAAATATTCCTCAGAGATTTTGGTCCATATTGACATGATAGCATCACACAGTAGTTGTTGGTTGCACATCTATGATGTGAATCTCCCGTTCCACCACATTCCAAAGGTGCTATATTGGATTGATTTCTGGTGGCTGTGGAGGCCGTTTGAGTACAGAGAACTCTTCAAGTTCAAGAAACCAGTCTGAGATGATTCACGCTTTTTGACATGGCTTATCCTGCTGGAAGTAGCCATCAGAGTACACTGTGGTTATAAAGGGATGGACATGGTCAGCAACAATACTCAGATAGGCTGAGGTGTTGACAAGATTCTCAATTGGTACTAATGGGCCCAAAGTGTGCCAAGAAAATATCCACCACACCATTACACCACCACCACCAGCCTGAACCATTGATACAAGGCAGGATAGAGCCATGCTTTCAAGCTGTTGACGCCAAATTCTGACCCCACCATTCGAATGTCACAGTAGAAAATGAGACCAGGCTATGTTTTTCCTATTTTCTGTTGTCATTCTATTGTAATATTGTGCATGAAAATCCCAGTAGATCAGCAGTTTCTGAAATACTTAGACCAGCCCGTCTGGCATTAACAATCATGCCACATTCAAAGTCACTTAAATCACCTTTCTTCCCCATTCTGTTGCTTGGTTTGAACTGCAGCAGATCGTCTTAACCATGTCTACATGTTCAAATGCATTGAGTTGCTGCCACGTGATTGGCTGTTTATAAATTTGCATTAACAAGCAGTTGGACAGGTGTACCTAATAGAGTGGCCGGTGAGTATATATCTTGCTTCACCTTTTTAATTTTTAACAGTTTTGCTCATTTTTTATTGTATTCTTAAATACATTTTGAAGTTATAAAATATAAAGGCATAGGTAAGTCATCCCATGAAACATGTTAAGGTGTAAACATGGTTTTAGGCTACATTTTTGGCATCTGCAACTAGTTTTTTTTTCATATTTTTTTAAAGATATTTGTGATTGTAAGTGTACATTAACCACTACCATATTTTCATAAAACTATAAAAACATAAGGCTCTGTCATTGAAGAGGAACAAGCCACAGGAGCCAAGCTTATATGCAAGCAATAGTATAAATGTCTGTATACCTGTGTGTTCACACTGAACTCCAGCGGCCAGGAGGTCTGGCTCTCCAAGACTAATGTCATTCAGACGCGTCCCCAGGCACTCGATAGACAAGGTCTTAAACCACTCCTCAGCCTCCAGCTCTGAGAGAACAAGCAGATTCAATCATGTCAATAAATTCAAGCGTGATCTTTCAATCTACCTTCTACATGAATAAAACATACGCTAGAGGACAGTAAGAGATCAGACTGTAATGTTAATGTCAATAACGAGAGCTCCTTTAAAGGGCTTCTATTTTACCCCTTTAACAAGTTGTAAGATAAAGACTTTGGTGTCTCCAGAATGTCTTTAAAGTTACAGCTAAAATTCCCATCAGATCATTTTTACATCCTGCTGAATACTGTATGTGAATTTTAAGCTTAGAGGACATTGTAGTTGTTTTTGTTGCTTGTGCCTTTAAATGTAAATGGACTGGTTCTCCCCACCCACAGTTTTCACATGCGTGTCTGCTTCTCCTGCGTTATGTCAGATAAACAGCAGTCAGTGACAAAGACAGACATAGATAAAGCAGATTCAGTTTTAGTCAAAATACCAAGTATGTTTATTTGATGTATTTGTTGTGGAGTTTATACATGCTTTTCTAAAACTATGAATGAAACAAATGCTGATGCATGTTCGTAGTACAAATACAGGCGCACACACATACGTTTAACTTTTGTTTTTGCATGTCTAACACTACTTGCAGCAAATCCATTATCCTCGCATATAGTTGACTGTTGACTATATAGCTGAATGTGGTGATTCCAGCGGCTATGAGTTACATAGCAATTTTACTGTCTTTCCTTTATTACAAACATGCACTGTTTGTACACATTGTACACAAATCATTACATTTAATGACTGCAGAACAGTCTAGAGTGCATGTCACTGATGAGAAGATGAAGGATGTCTGCTGTACACTACCTGACAAAAGTCTTGTCGCCTATCTAAGTTTTGGGAACAACAAATAATAACTTGACTTCTAGTTGATCATTTGGTATCAGAAGTGGCTTATATGAAAGGCAAAGGCTTCTAGATTACACTCATTCATTCATTCATTTTCTTGTCGGCTTAGTCCCTTTATTAATCCGGGGTCGCCACAGCGAAATGAACCGCCAACTTATCCAGCAAGTTTTAACGCAGCGGATGCCCTTCCAGCCACAACCCATCTCTGGGAAATAGATTACGCTCATTTTATTAAAATAAAATATGATCATGCCTTGATTATTGATTATTTAATTAGGACAGTAAGGTCTGACTTTGCTAAGACAAAATTCTTGTCACTTAACAGAAATAATGTACAGTATAACATTTAAAGTCCTGGTGAGCTTGGAGGACTGCATCTTTAAATCTCTGCAATGACTCAAATGACTTTTTAATAAAGTCATCTGGAATGGCAAAGAAAGCCTTCTTGCAGGACTTTATCAAGATTCTTTCTTCAATGCCTCCTACATCTTAACCCAGACATGCTCAATAATGTTCATGTCTGGTGACTGAGCTGGTCAATCCTGGAGCACTTTGACCTTCTTTGCTTTTTAGGAACTTTGATGTGGAGGCTGAAGTGCTATCCTGCTGAAGAATTTGCCCTCTCTTGTGGTTTGTAGTGTAATTGGCAGCACCAATGTCTTGATACCTCATGTATGATGTTGCCATCCACTCTGTAGATATTTTGCATGCCCCCATACTGAATGTAACCCCACATCATGATTTTTTCTTTACTAAACTTGACTGATTTCTTTGAGAATCTTGGGTCCATGCAGGTTTCAATAGGTGTTCTGTAGTATTTGTGATGATTGGGATGCAGTTCAACGGATGATTTTACCTTTTGCCACTTTTCCAAATAGTCAACAAGAAGTCAAGTTATTATTTGTTGCTCCAACAACTGAGATTGACAGCAAGACTTTTGTCACGTGGTGTGAACTGAAATCACCAAATGGCCTAAAACAATAAGTACATGCATTACAGAATGTTATGTTTTCAAACACATGCACAAATTGCATGTATTCTGTCAGTGCTGCACAAGCTTGGTTTGTGGTGCCACCTGCTAGACACTTGTAGTTTGTTAGTCAGGGTTCAAAATGCAAAACCCAAGCCTTAACATATCAGCACAACTACAGTAAAGCTTTGCTTTACTGGTTACACAAGGTTATACAGATTTCCTCCTGCATGTAAATGCATCAACCTGTTTTCTGTCAACATGCTTTTCAGGCTTATTATAGGTGCATATATTAATGGCATGTGTTCTCATTCAATTAGATTTTCAATTTATATACAATACAAATGCTTGCAATCCGGCACTCAAACACCAGGTTGCTCTCAAAAATCACCCCCAAATTTTTGACTGAAGATGAGGACTGAACTGAAAATCCATCAAGGATAGACAGTGTTCTAGGTTTTTGCGTGTGAGGTTTTTGGGTCCAATTAGCAAAGCCTCAATTTTATCTGAATTTAGTAATAAGGAGTTTTAGTTATCCAATTTTTAATATCGGCTACACAAACCGTTGTAAATTCGTACAAATTATTAGGTTGAGAGTAGGGTTGGGCGATGTCTATGTGAAACATCGAGATGGACGATGACATCGTCATCATGCGAAAAGCATGGGTTTGACAGAGTGTGCGCGATGAGTCTGAAGAGCAAGGAGGAATCCGGTGGTGAGAAGAATGCGTGACTTATTTGAGGACCGGGAGGGAGACGATTTTCGGGAATTTATCACTCGTTTACGCACATTCGGGAGTCTCTATGCATTTGCGGGAGACTCCTGGAACTCTCGGGAGACTTGGGATGTCTGAATATCACGTTTAACAACTATAGTGAGACGCGATCCAACGGTACATCCTTGATAAACTGTCCGATGTGCACTGCTCACTGGAGGTCAGACGAGCGCATGACAGTGTGTGTGGCTATGTGTGTGTATGGTCGCGTAATGTGCATTTTCAGTGGACGGAGGGCTGTTCAGAAATGCTAGGTAAAACATTGTGTGGATATGGATCATTTTCGTTCTAAAATGCCACTTTAACACTAAGACACATAGGTGTAAATGGGGAATAAGTATGTAATTTTCGCAAGTGGGTTTGCGATGGGGGCGGGGTGGTGTTGTCTATGGATGATGGCAATCGGCCCAACCCTGGTTGAGAGGAGATATAAAGTTGTGTATCATCAGCATAACAGTGGAAGCTAACTCCATATCACCAGTAGCATATACAGTGTGAAAAGTAAGGGACCAAGAACTGAGCCTTGTGGTACCCCACAGTGTACTTTTGATGTGTATGATGCCTCTTCATTAACTGAAGCAAATTGATAACGTTCAGATAGATAAGACCTGAACCAGAACAATGTGGTTTCTTTAATACCAACATCATTTTCAAGCCTATCAAGGAGAATATTATGATTGATTGTATCAAATGCTGCACTTAAGTCCAACAACACTAAGAGAGAAATGCAACCAGGAGCTGTTCATTTGTAACTGTGCTGTAAAAGTGCTGTTTCTGTGTTATGAAATGCTCTAAATCTAGATAGAAATTTTTCATAAGTATTGTTTCTTTGTAGGAAGGAACATAGTTAAGCAGATATGACTTTTTCTAGTATCTTTGATAGAAAAGGCAGGTTTGAAATTATAGTCCATGAATGAAAACTAATTGAACTTACACTTAGAAACAGCATTAAAAGAAAATGTCACTGACGTTAGCTTCATTTTTCATTCACAGGGTATAAGGTGGAATCATTTTCAGAGCATAATACTTGCTATTCACTATCTTGATTACTTTAGAAGAGCTACTTTTCGCTCATACTTTGAGTAGTATTTAAAAAATACTCAGCAGAGAGAAAAACTTTACTTGTGCTTATTTGTTTGGCAAGTATTGGCACCTTTGTTTAATATTTTTCAGTACTTTTTCCACTACTGTCTACCAGTACCACTCAAATTAGAAAACATTATTACAAGCTTACCACTGTATATTGGGCTGACCCTGCGCTTTGTACTTGCTTAAAATATTTTTGGGATAATCTTTAACAAAACAAACTGCAGCTTTTAGTCAAGCATCCTGCAGCAAAACAAGTCCCAGTAAAAGATGACGTACCTGATTCGCAGGTGAAGGTTCGAGAGGTGTCGTCTGTAAAAACGATGGCCACGGCCTGTCGCTTCGTGTCACGAGGCAATCTTGTGACGTTCTTCACATTACTAATCTCTGTCACCTGTGTGAACACAAGAAAAGCACTCAATGCAAAGTGAGAAGAAACTGACAGAGCCCAGTTATACAGACTAACATCATTTGCATCATTTGGCAAGGCACTTGTGCTCTCTTAATCATCTAATTTATCATTCACGCTCTACAGCGGCTTGTGGGAGCAAAAAAGTGTAGTAAAGAAAGGCAAATGAGGCCAACGAACACACAGAAATAGGAGGCCTGTGAGTCAGCAAAGTTGCATGGATACATTTATTCAAAAATGTATCTGTTTACACACTGCCGCTTTGGTAATCTCGGCCGGCAGCTCGCGCTGTGTGAATGTGCTCTACGCGGCTGTTAGTATAATTGGAGAACTGAAGTGACACTTGAATGTTTTCCTTGAATGTTTCATTTCTCCTGTGACATTTCCGCGGCTCAGATTAGGCCTCGGCTGAACTGTTGGGGTGAGAAGTGTACCTTAGGACAGGCTCTGATGTAGGCTGACTTCTCATCAGGGTATTTTTCCAGTCTGCGAGGTCCTTTACTGGATGACTTCTTAAACACCAGCCAGCAGCGTCGATAGATCTAAAACACACACACACACACACACACACACACACACAGACAAATACACATATGATCACACAGAGGCCAAAAATAACACTCGCCATGTGCCAGAGGCAAGGAGAAATTGGCCTTCATGAGAAAATCAATGGACTAATTGTTGAGCAACTTTTTAAAGACTTGCAGCATGGTAAAAAAAGTTTCACAGATATTAATGTTTTGGCTGATACAAATAAGATAGACGTTATTAGGATAACCAATTTTATAAGATAACAATATAATATAGGGCTGCATGATTCTGGCTAAAATGAGAATCACAATTTTTTGGCATAAAATCAAGGTCATGATTTTTTCTGACGATTCTGTCAATGTAAAATAAAGGTTAATATGAGGGGGCTATTATTGTTATTTTCAAACATATGGTAAAACAACAACAATAATATTAGATCTAAGTGTACGTCCACTGTTGGTTAAAATGCTCAATTTTGTACAGATTGTGAATGGTGGGCTTGAACAGACTTTAAATATGTCCTGGTTGTTAATTCACATTAAGTTGAATTAGGATGGATCCATACATGTATGCATGTCATTTGTCATTGACAACATAATTAGGCCGATTTATTTCACTGATAAAGAGAGACATTTGTCATCATCAGATTCTCTCCTGCATTATACCCAACATTAAATAGGCTAAATTAGTTATACTGACACTGTTAAACATTTATTTTCATGCGCAACACTTTGTGTTCAAATGCTTGTGGTAATTATAACTCTAAAATGTGATATGATCATTTAAATTATGTTTTTGGTTTACTTTCACTGCCGAGTGCAGCTAATGTCATGGCTGCCGTCACTTTGAAAAAAATAAAGCATAGCCTACATGCAAATCATATTTTCCGTGCGGCTCCCAAACAATCACTGTGCAACAAACTAAATGTTATTTACAACTTTATTATACAGGTTCTGTTCACTAAAATACACATCATTCATGGGCATGCATGTGTCCTTTCAGTAGTAAACATACAGTGTCAGCTGACCTGTCACTTCCAGGCAAAAATACGTCATTACATTAAGGCAGAAATTATTATTTTTGGGTAAATTCATTCATCCATTTTCTTGTCGGTTTAGTCCCTTTATTAATCTGGGGTCACCACAGCGGAATGAACCGCCAACTTATCCAGCTAGTTTTAACGCAGCGGATGCCCTTTCAGCCGCAACCCATTTCTAGGAAATTTTTTGGGTAAAGTATACCTTATAAATACAGTATGTGACACTTTTAACACCATTTGGAGGTGTCCATGTTGCTGAGCATGACTTGTGCGGTTACCTTTATGCTTCTTTCCTGACCATACATATACAATTGGCTGAATCGTAGAAAAGCTGAATTAAGATTGTGTGTAGGGACGAATCGAAATCACGATCTTTTTTTCAATTAATCGTGCAGCCCTAATATAAGATATTAAATAAGAAAATCGTTTTTAATTATCAAAACTTGTTGTTTGTTCTAACTATAAAATGAACTGAAACAAAACAATTGGGACAACTTCATTGTTTAATCTACTTAAATTTGTAGCAACTAACTTAAATTTGTAAGCTAACTTAATTCCTTTATGTTGTCCCAACACAAAGTGACTGTGTGGTACCCAGCATCTTTTACAGTGAATAAATGTATGGTATTTTAACCATTTGAATTAATGGTAACAAATTTAAAAATTCCTTTTGTGATTTGCTAAAAATTGCAGTAATACTTTATAAGGTTCCATCTGTTAAGATTAGCGCACTACATTTGATAATTCCAGCTAAATTGAAAAATGACTCCTTTATTTAATAATTGAATGTTTTGTTGCTTTATGTTTTTTAAATGCACCCTAAACTGACATGAATTAACAATCAATTGTACTATTTTAACTAACACTGAAATAGATTAATAAAGACTTTTAAAATGTATAGCAAAATGTATATCAATTACATTCGCTATTGTGGACTCTAATACTGACCAATATTATATTTGTTTAAGAATATTACAGTAAAACCTTGAAATTATTTAATATTACAGTTATTTATTACATATTTAATATATATTGGGGGAAACTATATTAATGCAAAAAAAAAAAGTGCAGGTTTTTTCAATTTCAAAGCAGAATTTCCAGTAGCCAGAGTCAAAATTTTTGTATGTGCAAATGTTGTACTATTGATTCTCAAATTAATAAATAAATGAATACAATTGTTAGCAATATATTAACATACATGGATGCGCACACACAATGGATCTATGGAAAAAAAAAATCTGTGGATCTGTGGTAAAACATTTGGAAATCTGGTTAAACCACCAAAATAAACATTTGAATAATAAAGAAAAAAAACTCACAGAGTAATGTATAGCTAACTATCCACAAATCTTAAAGGGTGGAACAGGATCTCCAAAAATGGACGTCGATGCCTTTATCATTGCATGCTAGAATAGCAAGTGTTAAAATGAACATCTTGCCGTTCATTTCCTTAGTTTTACGATTCTGTTACTCGCTCCAAAAAGTTTTGGCACAAACTTAACTCTATGATTTGTAATTTCTTATGGATTGGTGAGCAACCTCAATTGAAATTTGAAACTCTACAATGTACAAAAGATAATGGGGGACCAGCTCTTCCAAATTCTGAATTATACGATAGGGCTTTTCAAATAAAATGTATTCATGTTTGTCTTAACCCATTCTCTAGAGTTCCTTGGAGAGAAATTTAAATTAAATTAGCTGATAAATATAGATTACAAGATATTCTGTTCTTCAGGAATAACAAACAAGCTTTTTTTTGTGTGCAAGCTTTTGGTCCAATCATTGACAATACGATAGTAAATTTTAGATTAATGGAAAAAGACATTCATCACTCACATGGCACATCCATACACTTATTTAGAATAACAATGATTTTCGATTTGGTGGTGCAACATTTTTTCAAGGAATTGGATGCAGAAAGGCATTTATACGCTAAAAGATATTCTGGTTTTAATGGCATATTAGGTTTCAAGAACTTTGTGAGCGGTTTGAAATGGAACCTTCTTCTCATGAAGAAAGCCATGAAGGCCTATGGGGTTCCCTGGGGGGACAATCTACCCACCCAACCAATCATTGCTTGGTTTGATCTGTCCACTACTAATCATTTGACCTCATGGATGTACAGAAAGGCCTTAGAGGCACCAGCAAAGCATTAAGCTATACAGCACAGTTGAGAAATTGACTGTCAACCAGAAGAAGGTGTCACAGAACGGGGAGAGAGAATGGCAAAACATTTTATTAACCTAAAAATCCCAATCACCAACTCATTTACTATAACTTTTATCATAGAACCTACTGGACCCCACTCAAAAGACATCGTATCAAAGCCCCCTTTAGTCCTTTTTCATATAATGTGGGAGTGTGGAAAAGTACAAAAATGTTGGAATGAGGTGTGCATTATCCTATCTTAAATGATTGAATATCCCATACCGTACCTGTATTACTGAGCGATGATTCTACGTTGCATCTTACCAAGCTACAAAAAGCTGTTTGGCGTGCTGGCTTAACTTCTGCAAAAAACTACTAGTTGAATTGATATATTTCATTTTTTCAGCCTGTATGTTTTGTTAACAATAAAAAAAAATCATGCAAAACATGCTTTGACTTGACAAACGACGAGATAAAATTTTCATTTTGCAATAATTGTTGCTACTTTTATCATGATATTGAAATAAGCTGAATGATTTGACTGAAATAAGTTGAAAAAAGGGTTATTATAACTCTTTTGTGTGTATTTCTTTACTAAATATAAATGATTAGAGTAAATTGCAAAAAATACAAAGTACACTTCACAAAAAGCTGTCATTAGATTCATAACTTGTTCATTACAGTCATCAAATAGACTGACTTCAAGTGCAGTCATTCATCCCTGAGTCTATTTTTGTACTATTGTTATACGTCTATTAGATTTTCACTGACAGCCCAAATTTTGCCTAGTTTTAGGCAAGACGTCAATGGTTGTCGATAAGACGTCTTTTTAACATGAAAATATTTTGTGTTGACAATTATTCTGATATTGAAGTTTGCAATAAGATTATTGTACTTAAAACTGTTAAATTATTGATTTTTTAAGAACGGAAAGGAACTAAAAATCATTTTTATAATGTCAACAAATGTTTCATTTTAGTGGGGCAACCAGTAGCCTGACTGAAATAAAAATGATGAAAAGCAACTTTGTGTTTATTCACCACAATGCTTATTTTCTGCAAATTCAGTACAACATTGAATTGAGTTAGCTGAATTGAGTTACAAGGAAACAGTGTATCCCATCCTTTACACCAAAACACCTCGTAGAGGGAAGTAGAGAACTATTTGTCTTCATTGTCTCAGTAACACTTTAGAGTGAATTAAAGTCAACATGTTTTGACTCTGAACAAATCCCCTGGTGTTTCGACAGTGTTTTTAAATACAGTTACATCCTGACTCACATTTATAAACACTGCATTAGTCATCAGGCTTGAATACATGACAGGCATTCATTGCACCTCAACTACCATACAGTCTAACAAGCAAGACCACACATTTCTAAACCTATTGTCCATAAATGAACATTTTGATAGAGTATTTGAACAAAAAAATAAACCCAACAAAAAATAAACCCTTAAGATATTTCAAGCAACTTAAAGCATGTCCAGTTTCCTGCTGAGATGATTGATAGAAAGACGAACTGAGCTGATGAGCTTTTGTTTTTGCCATCTAAGCTGACCTTAATGTCATTGCCACTTGAACGATTGAACCTGCCTTATGAAGAAATTGAGAAAGGTAGCTGCATGGTTTTTTATTCACAGCAGGTAAAAGATTGATCCCTTGTTTGCATCATATTGTCCCCTGAGGTTCCACTAATCCTCTGTAAACAGACTGTGCAACAGGATCAGCAAAGAGTGACTGTGTGTGTGTGTTTGAGATGTGCCCTTTTCCACTGCTGCTTCACTGTTTATATACCTGCCTGTCTGCACAGCATTAATACACAAA